AGAGACGAGAGCCTGAAACTATTGGCACCAAATTTTTTGTCATATCTAAAAATCTGATAAAAATAACTCAGCTTTGATCGGTCAGGTGAGCGATATCATGTGATATATTTGAAATCAGTTGAGATTTATATTAAATTAAAATTAAAAATTATGTCAGTGCTGCTATAGTATAGCGGTATAAAGCACTTGACCATTCTAATCTCGAATACTGGGTTCGAGTAAAGCTAATCCCAAAAAATAATAATAATAAAAAAAAAAAAAAAAAAAAATTTTTTAAAAAATTATATTTTAAAGCATTAATAGCTTTTTAAATTTTTAACGTTTTTCTATATCATAATTACGACATGATTTTTCAAAAAAAATAAAATCAAAGAATGTCCGTGTTCTACTAACACGTCAAGTATTTTATTATAACTATATCATAGTCAGAAGTGCATATTATCTTACCCATTATAATACAAAAGAATATGACATCTCTGCATTAAAAAGCAATAATATTTCCTGTTAATACACTAATTTTTAAATATCAGTTCTTATAAAAAAAAATTGTTTACTGTCTAGGTTTCAAACCCTTGTAATTTTAAATCCAATTTACAACTTTACTGGCAAATTTTCATAGAAATGTGAATTATTTTATCGCAAAGTTTTAAATCGTATAAAGATTTATTAATAATTAAAAGTGACTTCTTTTTATCCTTTTCTTACAAAAATTTTTGAATAGTTGCTATCTATAAAAAAAAGCTTTCAAGAGAAATATTAGTGAAAGCTAGAAATAAAAGTTTCTTAAAGAAAAGATAAAAAGATTACAAAGATTAAAAATGTACAATAAACAAATAAATTTAAAATAAAAAAGCGAAAATTTTTGGACTTTCCAAACACAATTTTTGTCAAAGTTCATTCGAAACTGATAGTTGGTCAGATGTTTCAGATGTTTTTAATATGATGGAAACTGAGAATGAATTAAAGTATTATGTTTGACTTATCCATAATTTCAAAAAATTCTTCAGCCTGATGCTCATCCAAACATTTGTAAAATCTTTATTGTGCCAAAAGTAAACTACAATAATCTTTCATGCAACGCACCATAAGACCATATGGTTCGATGTTACAGAATCTTCTGTGAAAATTCGCACAACCTAAACTCCCAGAGGATGAAGTTGATCGGTATGTTTTAAAGCTTACTCAGAATTTTTTTTTGAGTTTCGGGATTGATCCTGTTACATTATTTCAATTACGGTGATGGGTGAGGCTTATTTTTAAATAATTATATAATGGTGAATTCCACCTTGAGCACGCTTTATTTCTTTTTTTCAACATTTGAATAACTGTTGCCGAAGTAACTACTTTTCACAGGGATAGAACTTGAGGTTTTTCGTATGGAAAGTTTTCAGTTTCTCGTTGATAAGCAATAGAGGTAGATATGATAAAAAAAGATGAACACATACATGATAAAAAAGGAACTAATTTCATTATAGGGACAATTAAGACATGACATCATGCTACGAGATCGATTTCAGTTAAAGATAATGGTAGTTTTTATTTAAAGAGCAAGACCACTTTGTGAGATCGATAAAAATGAAGTTTTCTTTTAAGAATCATGACCAATTGCGAACTTCAACAAAGACAAGACCTCTCGATAGATCGATAAAATTGGTTAGCTGCCTTCGAAGAACACGACATCTAGACCATATTTTTTTTTTCCAAGGATTACAGTAGTTTTTTCTTCCAAGAGTCACGACCATTTCTACAGGATCGAATAGATTTATTTCAAGATCATAACCTCTTGCAGCAAGTTCGAGATTAGTCGTATTCTTTATAAGTTTCTTCTAAAATTTAAGAAAACAAAAGAGTTATCATAAAAAAAGAGTAAAGTAAACTAATGAATCTCCGTGATGTATACACCTCGTTGAGCTGGTAAAAAATTTTTGTGTCCACTTTTAAATAAATATATTATACTCATCACATGGTCTTGATCTTGATCTTCGAGTTAAGCTTTCCATATTCTGCTCCATTTGCCTAGCAATAAAATTCATAAATAGAGAGTAATATATGCCACTGCCTTTTCTAACTATTACAAAATCGATAGTTTTTGTGTCAAAGTCACTATGATCAATTTTATTTCAACGTTCCCTTACGCAAGTTATCAATTACATATAATGAAGTTGGCTTTTCTCTCATTAGATCAAACTAGCTCATATTTTGGTTTTTCCAATAGCTCTATTGAAAAGGATATTAATTAAACCGATTGTGAGTAACAAAAGCAAAAATAATAGTCATCATGCACCAATTCCTTAATCCAAGCCGCTAAACTATTGCCCTTCATAAAGAACAAGATACGTAATCTTCGTAATTGAGTCACTTCAATCAATCAAGGAGAGTCTTTCTTCAGATTAACACCGTTCTTTTTAATAAAGTCCTATACAAAAAAATAATTATAAGTATTTTATTAAGTAAAAGGAGAGAAGGAACACGACCAAAAAATTCAAATTATATAAATTTTATGCTAGGCGTCTAATAGGAGCCTACACTAATTCCAAATTACATACATTTTTATGCTAGACATTCAGTAGTTAAACTACTTTAAGTCAAGAAACCCTATATGTAATTTCACAATGACTGGCCTACTATCTTATGGCAAAAAAGCCAATATGTAACTTCAATGACCGCGCCTATAGTGCAAGCTCAACCCTACCTCTTAAGTACGTGTTGGATAATATGAATACCTTCATTCTTTTCGTAATACCTTTCAGATCTGTAGAATAAAGGAAGAAGTTATTAGAGATGTTAGAGGAGAGCATCGAAAAGAGAGAAATTAATTAACAATAAAATAATAAACTGAGCTTTGACCTGAGATCTGTTGTGAAAAGTTTGATAATTGTCATACATGCCTCGTTAATTTCATTACCTACATTATCCGAGAAAGGGGACGAACATGATTAGAGCGTTTTATATAAAAGAAACTGGGAATAGGAGGGTCATCCTTCAAACACAGCTATGCCATCACATCACCAACGAAACCCCTCTCGTAATTTTAAATGAAAATAATTTCATTTTTGGGACACGATGCAGTCCTATCGTGCTTTGACGGCATAGATGCTATCCTTTCTCTTAACTAAGTAAGTCTACTTACATAATAATACCAGATGGCTTCCTTGGATTTCTCCATGTCATGTCCTAACGATGGTACCGTTACCACCACGGTTCATTTGCAAACATCACATGTTGGAATCTGGATTGTAAACATAGCTTCGTAAGAACGCGAGATTACGAAGTTTTGACAAAGCTTACTTGAGGAAGTTCTTTTTAGAACAAGGTATAATATCTGGGATGTAAATTATACCTCGTTCTCAACCTTTTTACACCAAAATATCGCCTAAGACTCAATAAATTTAAATCTTTTTTTTTGTATTTTAAGCACTTTGACCAATTAAATATTATCCTTTTTAAAAAAATAAAAAACAAAAAAATGGGAAAATTTTCAGTAAAAAATGAGAGAAGTACTGGAGAAAATAAAGAGAAAAATAAAAAAAAAAGATATAAAAACAAATTACTAAAACAATATCATTCTTGTCCTTCCTTACTGTTGGCGTCTAATAAATTAAGAATAATAAGCGTTAATAAGGTTTGTCACTAAAACATCTTTTTTTAGCCTTGTCATAAGAGAGTCGTTTATAGTGAGAAAAAATGAAGCTCAAAATCTTTGGAACACGTATTATAAAGGGCAAGATCATATGCACTTCCGAATGTGATATAGTTATAGTAAAATACTTTAGCAAAAAACGACGTGTTAGTAGAACACGAACATTCCTTGATTCTATTTTTTTGAAAAATCATGTAGTAATCGTTAACATTCCTAAGTATAAACTATTCATGATATAAAAAAACGTTAAAATTTAAAAAGTTATTAATGCTTTAAAATATAATTTTAAAAAAAAAATTTTTTTTTTTTTTTTTTTTTTTTTTTTATTATTATTTTTTTTGGGATTAGCTTTACTCGAACCCAGTATTCGAGATTAGAATGGTCAAGTGCTTTATACCGCTATACTATAGCAGCACTGACATAATTTTTAATTTTAATTTAATATAAATCTCAACTGATTTTCAAATATATCACATGATATCGCTCACCTGACCGATCAAAGCCGAGTTAAAATAGTCGCTTTTATTAGGGCATCCTTAACCTACACTGGAGGAATTCACTAATTTCCACCTCAAGTTCCTATTGGTTGCGACTTTTGAGGCTTATGATTGGTCACAATTAATTATGTCACATCACGTGACGATCAGCACAATGATCAGCATACTTCAGTACTTGTAAAATATCCGCGTCAAATTTCTTGTCTCTCCCTAACATACATTTTTTTTTGACTATTGCAAAAACTTCGAATTGATTTTTAAATAGAAAAATATAAAGTTTATGTCATGAAATAATAGGATTTTAGCAATTAAGAAAAATAAATTTTATTTATAGAGTAAATTTATTCATCACGGGGGGCGATACTCCTTATACATTGCCTTTATATATATATACCTTACCCTAACCTTAGTATTCCAATCTGAGGATCATCTGTCATCCGTAATCTGCAATCACGTGATCTACAGATCATCCTTAATCCGATAAACAGATATCTGATTCGAACAGATTATCCGTTGCATCTGTTAGATTATTACTATTAAAAATTCTATTTACTAAAAATACAGCCCAATATTTTTTATAAATAAAATTATCTCGTGTGATTTATATGAATTAAATTAACATCATCGCACATGTAAGGTATTGCCTTATTATTTATTATTATATATTATTTTATTAAAAATTTCTTAGTTTACACAGGGTATGCAAATCTGGATCGCTAAACACGTGACTGTTATATTTTATTGAGTCTTATCTTATTACAGTATTACACAAGTTCGTGATTATAATAGCAAAATAAATCGCATTGTTTTTGTTGATTTGCTTCTTTCTCACTTTTATTTTTTCACACTTTTAATCTCACAAAATGTCTGATGAAAACCATGAAAATATCTTTTTTGACAATCAAAATGCTAATACTTCTTCGACTTCATTTTATCATGTGATATATTTTACTTTTTTATTCTGTATCACTCGCTAACTTGTTGAAATTTAGTAGACAGCTAATCAAATGTATTTTTTAATAGGATTCTGAGTCAAACTTGGCAATCTTTGAAGATGCTTCATATGATGATGAAAATAGACTAAATGAATCATCAGAATCTTTGAAATTGATCCCTGAACCTACCTTCACCAGCTAAGACGAATTCAAGAATTAGATCAATAGATTTGCATTAAAAGAGGATTTTGATTATAAAATTAGAACAAGCAAAAAGGTTCAAGATGTGGTACAAAGGACTGTTTACGAATGTACCAAGTCCTGCTCACATGTTTCATAGGTTATTTTAGATCTGACTAAGCAATATAATGCTCATTTATTATGAATACTGTGTCCTTGAAAACTAAATGTCACTTGTCCAAAAACAAGTGATGTTGTAAAAATTAATTCGTTTAATAACGAACATAATCACCCTCTTACACCAATGATTTGTGAAATATCATCACAATTTCGTAAATTAACGTCTAAAATGTTGGCAGATATAGAAAAATATGTTATTCAAGGGTGGATAAGTAATTGGCCAGTCATAATGAAGTTACATGGATGATGCAGTATAATGATCTCCTAATCCAGAATTCTAAAAATACTGAGAATTCTGTGAATTCTGAAAATATGGAGGATTTACGTAATTCTGAAGATCTTCTAAATACTGATAATAATCAAAATTTTACAAATTAAATAAAGTCTAAGAATATTTAGCATTATACGTATTTTTAATATTCTATATTTTATTGTTATTTTTATTTTATCTTATATTTTTATTATTTTACATATTTTTATTATCCTCAATATATTTATTTTACTTATATTTTATTTTGCAAAATTAGTTAGTTTATAGCATAGTAAATAGTTAGCTGTGACAAAAGAAATTTTGTATAAATAGATAGACTTTTTGCTTATGTTATAAATTAACTCTT